ACACCAAATGATGTCAAGATGGGGGAAATCCGTGCAGGAGTTGACCTCCAAAAGGATTTCTCTGAATCAGCCAAAAGGAAGAGAAAATGGATAAATTAAAGTAGAATGGCCATAAGATAGATACCTCGCCCTCCCCCATGTTTCTCAGCAGAAAAACATTTCCTCCCAGGACCGCTTTTCAACAAAAATTAGGTCACTGGGGTTTTCTCACATGAGATTGCTTGTAACACATCGTTGTATCATTTGGCCCTCAGTATGAATGGATGCCGATTGGAGCAAAGCGACCCTCTGATGACACACCGACGGGCTTTGAGCTGTCTGCAGGGAAGTGATGTCGGAGTCATCATGGACAGCCCAAAGAAGGCATCAGTAACAGTGAAAAGGGAAATTGCTGGGGACTGGGGATATCCCTGGGACGTCTCAGCCATCACGGGGTTCCTTGGCGCTCTGCATGGTGCTGAAGCTCCGCGCTAAAATGGGTTCACTACCCTGGAAGACTGAGGATTGCTCTTCTAAAGTTCAAAAGAAAAGCTGCTGTGGATCATCTCATGTCTTGATTTCAGTGTCCCAGCTACCGTGCTTTCTTTCCTTCAGGCTGAGGGTGCAGCTGTCGTTGGAACGGGTGCAGAGTTCTGGCCACCCCCTCCCAAAATAGCTATTACGAAGTTGGGGGAAAGGGCAGGGAGAGGGAACTGCATGAGTCGAGAGGACAAACACCTCTGTGGTGAACGCCTCAAGCGTTTGTGCCCTTTTAGGAAAGAAACAAACATATGACCATCAGAAAGAGCCCTTCTGGATCAGACGCAAGGCCACCTCGTCCAGCAGTCTATACACTGTGGCAAACCAGATGCCCACAGGAAACCCACAAGCAGAATGAATCCAAGGGCACTCTCCAACCCATGTTCCCTGGCAACCTGTGTGCACAGGCACACTCTCTCTGGTGCTGGAGCTGGCATATTGCCATGAGGACTAGTAACCCATGGCACCGCCATTGTCCATCAATACGGATGAGAAGCAGCGGGTGGGAGGAAAGCAGAGGCATGACAGCGGGTTGCAAGATTCCGGGCAGACAGACCTGGACATGCGAGGACCGAAACTTAGTCTGAGACAGCCAAGTGTTCAAGCAAAGGTGTGCACTCTGCCCGTCCTGTCTGAGGGAAGCCGTGTCCGCTGGCATGGCACCTGCCATGATACACACCTGAAGTCCCCTGAGGGGTCAGTCCACGCCATTCTTCGGAGACCCATGGGGGGGGCTGCCCCACAGCAGTTAAGGAGGTGCCGCTATATAATCCGCTATATAATCCTTCCTTACCACCCTCTTGCTTCAAACTGCAGCGACAAGAAAGCTATAATGCTAGTTAGCCAAGTCTGTCACCTAGTGACTGACATTGGTATAGCAGACTTCAAGCACAGAGTCACGTTTAAATTAATCAAAATTAATTAACGTGGTTTAAAACTAAATAATCGCTTGGTTTTGCACCACTAGGCTCCCTTGAGGGTGCATGCTAAGTTTCCGATGTCTAGGTTTCACTGTGTTGACACTGTGGCACTGACAGACAGACAGACAGACACACTTCATGGGTTATTCCAGAAAATGGGTGGGCGACACACAACTGGCAGCTCCCCATGGCCATTTTTGCAGCCCCCTCCCCACTGATTTGGCTGTGGTGGGGGTAAAAAAGCAAAGCGTGTACAAGGAAACAAGGCGTGTGGTGACCGTGCCTTGTTTGGAAGTGCAGTTACAGTCCTGGGAGGCTCCCAGAAACGTGATTCTGCTTGAAAACAAAGCACATTTTCATTTCCTTGCAAAATTGTTGTTTCCGTGGATGTTGTCACTGTGCAGACAAACTCAGCAGCAAACACCAATACCTGAGGCAGGATACTTAGGTATACCAGTCGCTGGGGGACTTGGGCAGGAGGGGGCTTCCACACTCCCGTCCAGCTTGTGGGAACGTGTGGGCAGCTGGTTGGCCACTGTGTGAACAGAAATGCTGAACTGGATGGACCCAGGACTGATCCAGCAAGGAGCTTACAATGCTCTGATGCTCTCAATTGTGGCGGCAGCCGTTTCAGCGCTGTTCCCAGAGCGCTTTGCTCATCCTGCGATAGAGCAAAGTGAAAGTGTGGAAACAGTGGACAGAGAAGCTATCCCTCTCTCTCTCTCTCTCTCATATATCATCATCATCATTCAGGAATGGTTCCACAACCAAATCAATCCACAGTGCCTTCAGGGATGACAAGAGGAAATGCTGCGTCTTGTCATTATCTTAAGGAATTCCTGGCCAACAGGAGGTTTAGTGCAACAGGATGGAGGGATGGAAGGAGCCTCACATTCTACTCTGTTGGCAAATACCAAACATTGGGAAGGAGCAATACAGAGCTGCCATCTCTGTGTGGAGTCTTCCCAGAGTTGCCTGATTGGCAATTCCTGAAACAAGGATGCCGTACAAGATGAGCCTTTGATTAGGCCTCATCAGCAGGTTCCTCTTAGGCCTGTTTTCCCCAGCATCATGCCTGCAACACACTTCTGGAAGGCACAGGGCTGGGGAAAGCTGTCACAGGTTCATCTTCAGCCCCAACTGACCAAATACATTTTATTTATTTATTTATTTATTTATTTTTCGATTTATATCCTGCCTTTTTCCTACAAAGGGCTCAAGGCAGCTTACATCATTCTCCTCCTCCATCTTATCCCCACAACAACAACCCTGTGAGGTAGGTTGGGCTGAGAGTCTGTGACTGGCCCAGAGTCACCCAGTTGGCTCCATGGCTGAGTGGGCACTAGAACCCAGGTCATCTGAGTCCCAGTCCCACGCTCTTAACCACTACACCACTGGCTCTCTATACATCACCCACTGACTGGTGTCATGCAAAAGCTACATGTCTTCCGCGTTCAGGATTATTCGTGACCTGTCTGAACACCCATCAGCTGTCTAGTTCATTTCCCTTAGATCTGCTACTCTTCTCAGTTGTTCCTGCAGTCAGCGAGCGTGCAGCATGGATGGACATAAAGCATTCCTTTCCACCTCTTTGCTATTAAAGAGGCTCCTGAGAACATCATGGGAAGGATGGAAAGTTCACATTTACATGGTGCAGGGTGTGGGTCAGAAGGATCCTACAGAAAATAGGTATATCATGGCATGGATTTTGCATGTCCCCAAACCTCTGTTGCAACGTATTAATAACTCACTGTGCACCACTTCTGTTTGCATTAAGGCAAACCAGTTTTAGGAAGAAGAAAAGAAGATATTCTGATGAAATCAGCATATATCCAAGAAAACTTGAAACCTAGCTGAAAGGCTTGTGGAATGGCAAGGCTGATGCTTTGATTTGTTGAACTGTGCTTTTGACAAGACAGAAACACCGAGGGCTCCTAGGTAAATATTTACAAGATTGCAATCCTAGTGTTGACCAAATGGTTTGCTTCCTGGTGTGCGTATGTCCAAAAGACACAAAAGCGGAAGGTTTTCTTTTAAAGGATTTACTCTCAACTGGCTACCAACAAATCATTCCAGATGATGCACCTGAGCAGTCCTCAGTTGGCCCTTTTATACATTGATCATTAAAGGGTTACCCATAACACAGCTAACACTTTCCAATAGGTTACAAAAGTAAAAAAAGTTACATGATCTTTTGGGCCTGCATTCCAAAGGAAAAAAAAAATTCTTCCAAGGACAGAAAAAAGCCATACAACACAGAAGATGCTGGCTAGAGGTATGCACCCTTTGAGATCTGCGGGAGAGTCCCTTCTCCGGGAACCCTCCATGAAAGAAATTAGGAGAGTAAGTACCCGGAGGAGGGCTTTCTCTGCGGTGGCGCCCAACCTATGGAATTCACTCCCCAAAGAGGTCCGCCTGGCACCGTCGTTACTGGTTTTTCGGCGCCAGGTAAAGACCTTTTTATTTAAACATCATTTCAATTGTTAAAACATATGATCTGGCCTGGGCAACTTCTTCTTTCTTCTCTTTCTCCTCCTATATTTTTATTTTATACTGATAATTTTAATTTTGTATTTGTAAATCAATGTATTTTTTGTATTTTTATATTTAATGGTAATTTATTATGTACTATTGTATTTCAATGTATTTTATCATGTTGTAAGCCGCCCCGAGGTTTCGGCAAGGGGCGGCATAGAAATGTTATAATAATAATAATAAAAAAATAATAATAGGCTTTTTTCTTTCTATACCTGCATAGCAGATGTAGTGTGGAATAATGGTTAGAATGCTCAACTAGGATTTGTTGGAGTTTCAACTAGGATTTGAGTTCTAGACCCTCCTCAAAGCTCAATCTCAGCCTAACCTACTTCACAGGGTTGTTGTGAAGACAGAAAAGGATGAGGAATAAGCAAGTTGCTGTAGGCTCCTTGCAGGTGAAAAAGCAGGATATAGATATAATTAATACAATAACATAATAGATAAATAAAGAAGATTGCACCTTAAGGGTTTAGACAGAAAAAAGGCCTACAACTCCCAGAATTCCCCAACTGGCTGCTCCCAGCATTTCAAAAGCTACTCAAAAAGTTTTAATGTTATTTGCCCTTGAAAGTCTTTAGGCACAATCTTATGCAAGCTGAGACAGCCCCCCAAGGGCCTACAACTCCCAGTATGCCCGGTCTACAGCTCCAGCATGTGGGATCCTGGGAGGCTGGGGCATTCTGGGAGTTGTAGGCATTCGGGAGGGGAAACTGGGCCTCTGCGTGAAGTTCCCCTTGACGACGGCGACAGCGCACAGCCCTGGCAACAGAGACAACGCCCTCTGGTGCTCACACACAGGCATCGCCCCGCGACTCCTTGAGCATGCGCACAGCAGCGGTTTCCGCCTGGCCGGGTTTACGCGTTTGCAAAGGCGCATGCGCCAGAGCCACCTATGCCGCTTTCCGTAACCGCTCTCCACCCCAAGCCGGTTTGATTCCGTGATGAGAAGGTTTGAGCCTGGCCAGCTGCCGTATACCGCTTCCGGAAGTGCGACGCCGAAGGGCGGCCCCACGTGACGGGAAGTGTCCCTGCGGTGTGGTGGTGAGGGAGAAGCGGAGGCTCGCTGGGAGGCGAGGAGCAGCCGAGGGAACTACGACAGCCGCCGCCGGGCGGTCGCTCGCGGTGAGTGAGGGGAGCTCCGGAGGCACGCGGGCGATCCAGGCGCGTAGCTGGAGGCAGACGGGCGTAGGCCAGCGTTCGTCCTCTCCGCACAGAGGGCAAAGGGGTGACGCACCCGGCGGGGGGGGGCGGGGCGGGGCGGATCCCCACCCCCCGTCCCTGCACTGCGTCACAGGCAGCGCCTCCCGCCCTGCCTCCAGAGGTGCGTCATAGCAGCCCCTCCTGTGCATCACCCCCGAGGAGTGACGCAGGCAGGGCTGCCGCTCCTCGCCCTGCCTCCGCCCTCACTCGGTGGCCACGCCCCCGGTGCTTGCGTCACGGGCGCCAGGGGTCTGCTCCCCCACCAGCCGTGCCTTGTCTTGGGGTCCCTGGGCTGAGCTAGCGCTTCAGGAAGGCTGAGTGGATGCTTTCCTCTGGCCTTCCTCAACCTGGTGCTCTGCAGACGTGTCGGACTACAAACCCCAGCTTCCTTCTATCCAGTTGGGGGAGACTGGGAGTTGGAATCCGACAGCCCCAGAAGGCTGGAACGGGGCCACTTCTTTCTTTTGGGGGCTCAGAGGGGGCACGAGATTTATTGCTAACGAAACTGGGATGCACATCTGTTAGAATTTGTGCATTGGGCATAGGCCCCATTAGGGGACTGCTTTTTATGTACGTTCTTAGACAAGTACTGGAGCAAAGACTATTAAATTGTGAATTGTTCGGTGAATCTGTATGTGTTTGTACAGGCCAGTATTGTCTGTCCTGATTGACAACAGTCTCTGGTTTTAGGCAAAAAAAAAAAAAAGATTTTCCCAGCCCTGCTCCCTGGGAAATTAATAAATGGAGACACCAGCTGTATACATTGCAGGCTGAGCCCTCCTCAAATGCAAACTTAAAATGCCCTGGTGTGCCTGTGTGTGTGTGTGTGTGTGTGTGAGAGAGAGAGAGAGAGAGAGAGAGAGCGCGCGCGCGCGCGCGCGCGCAGCGCTTGGGTGAGCAGCCCTGCAGGCAGCTGCATTCTGTAGCACACATTCTTCCCTTTCCATTGGTGACATTTGGGAGGCAACCATGCAACAAGCTAACCAGTCACAACAGATTTCTAATGCTTGGTGTGATCTGCATATAAATATGAATCTAAGAACAGAAGAAAAACCATGTTGAATCAGACCCAAGGTCCAGTAAGCCCAGCATTTTGTACACATGGTGGCAAACCAGCTGCCCACAGGATTCCTCAAGCCAGGTGGGTGCAAGACCTCCTCCTGCCCAAGCTCCTCAGCAGCTGGTGTATGTCTGCAGGCCACCTCTGGTAAAGAAGGAAGCCCACAGCCAGCAAGGCTAGTAGCCATCCAGAGCCTCCTCTCCCATGATGCCCTGCTTCCTCGTATGTGCTATAACCAGATTCTTCTGGATTCATCTTGGGTGCTATGTGAATAAATTGATAACATTCTTATAGTTCTTCTATCAGCCCTTCCCAACCAGGTAACTTTTAGACATTTTGGACTTCAATACCTGTCAGCTACACTCAGTATGACCAGGGGTTAAGAATTTTAGGGATCGTACTCAAACTTTTGGAACACACTGGGTTTCAGAAGCCTGTCATATAAGAACCTGTACCTGAAAGTAAACAATACAGGCTCTATCTTGTAACTTACGACATAAGTTGACACATAACGCTTTTTCTGTTAACATAGTTTATCTGTTAAATGTAACTGATAACAACAACATAGTTGTGGACCACTGTGGAAAATGTTATACAGTATTTTGTTTCATTTATGCCATATTTTTTCCACCAAGAAAATCTTGCTTTAGCGCAGCTAAAATAATAAAAAGTGACATTAAAAAGTTACAACAGCCATAAGGGAAATACATTTTAAACATCTTTTAATAATTAGTAAATGCACGGCACTGAACGCAACAGACTGACTGGCATCCCAGAGTCGTGCCTGGATAAAAACGCCTCTGCCTGCTGGTGGAAGGACAGCATGGAGCCTGCAGGGAAAGCACTGCATCTGAACACATCTCTCTTCTGCTTATTTAAAGTGGGAATCTAGCTGCAATGGTAGAGTACTTAGCAGATCACAGTAGCAGGATGGATGGCAGTGTTCTTCAGCTGAGGGTCTTGGAAGAGGGGGCATAATTCATTGGTAGAAGCACATGAATTGTATGTGCTTCAAGTATGCTGCAAGCCGTCCAGAGACACAAGTAATTGGACGGCATACAAATTTTATAAATAAAATGATACTGGCTTTCCATACTGAAGGTTAAAGATTCAGTCCTTAGCATCTGCAGGTAGGTTCGGAGAAAATCTGAAGAATTAGATGGACCAGTGGCTTAACGCAATAGAAGGAGACCCTATATAGTGTTTTAGATTTTGGACTTCGCCTTGTGCTCTCACTAGGGCTGAATGCCCCACATTTGGCATGGGAACTCTTGTATGCAAGTGGGTAAGTTTACTGCGGGTGTGTGTCTGCAAAAGAAAGAACGGGTTTATACAGACTGTGGGGGTGGGTGGGTGGGAAGGCAGGTCTTCCTCCCATTCTCAGGGTAGCTTGTGAGTATGGGTGCTTGGGCCGGGGCAAGCATTGGATGTCCGAGTATTAACGCAGCAGTTAGTAGTTGCTCTCAAAAGTAATCGTGCAGACCAGAAGTTGCTTTTGGAATTTATCCTATGGAATTCTGCCTTGTGGCTCAATGGGAAAAATTTCAGTTGGATTACTGTACTACTGCCTGCGGCCTGGGCCAGCTCAGCTGCTGCAGCCTGTGCGGATTGATGTTGCCCCTCCCATTCAGGCCAGCAAGAATTCCTGCCATGTGTAGTGACATATTGTGACTGCTTTGCTGGACTGTGAATCTTTTTCTCCTTTTAGAATTGGGCCTTCCTATACCATAAGGCACTGTAGATTTCTGCCCTGCGTAAATCACCTTGGATGGCTTGATTCTTCACTAAGAAGGGGATGGATGAAGTCTCTTTGATGAATACACGTATATGTGGGGCTGCACTGAGGCTTCTCCTTCCACCCACTACCCGTTTTACTCGCTAGCAGTTCCTTGGGTCAAGCCCAGCCCAAGAATAGACCTTGAGGGCCCCCAAGGCCATTCCGTGGAAGGTAATCTGGGTTGATTCTGCGGCTGTCTGGAAGAGAAACCCACTGGGAGACATCCTTATGTGTTTCTTTGAAAAGCTCAGAAGGTGATAAAGGATCGGAAATTATGACAAATAGATGAGAAAGATGCACTGAATGGATCCATACTTGTCTTTTTATACCTTCTGTGCATCCGGTGAAACAAGAGATTGCTCAGTTGCTCTGCACTGCAAACTCTCTCAGGGTTTTTCATGTGGGTTATAGCAGCTCATTTAGCTGTAGGAGAAGTAAGCAACTCTAGAGGCCCAAGGGCCAGATCCTACTCCTTTGGAAGCACCAGCAGCCATGCTTAACCCCTTCCTTAAAGTAGACCTCTTATTAAACTGTTTAGTGTCCTAAGCTCTATATCAGCTGTTGACACTGAATGCAGACTGTTTCTCCTACCTGTCGCTGGCTTTCTTGCATGCTTTGCCCAATGCTTTCCTTTATGTAGGTGATGTATGCCAACTCTTAAAATGGTTCAAAGCTTTTCTTCTGCGCTGCCAACAAATATGGCTGCCCTACTCATAAATCAATTGATTTTTTTCCCCCAGCAGAAGCCTGGCATTTAGTCCCGCAGGCAAACTGAACTGACATGCTTCATTTTGCCCAGCACATGATGGTTTAGAAGTTAAGAGCTGTATCTCCAAAACTCCGTGGTCCCTCCCGTTGCTCAACACCAGGTGGCAGCAACTTACACCTTTCCTTGAGTTCATAATGGGTTTCTAAAAGCAGAGCCGCGCACTGAGTGCCTCTCTCTGTTTTTTGTGCAGTCTCTTGTAGGGGTAAAAACTGCTTGGGGGGGTTCTGTCCAGTGGGGAAACAAGGTGAACGGAAATTATGAAGAAACCCCTCTGCTCTGCTTCTTCAGCCTGGAGCCTCAGCAGCTGGACTGTGTAAAAGAAAGGCCTGAGAAGAATCTTGGGCTGGCACCACCCATGGTGTTCTGCCTGAAGTGGGCAGTTAATCTGGAGTTTGCTTCTTCAGGGAGATCCCATAGTTCAGTAACAGTGCAAGACTTCCAGCAATGCTGGAGGGGTGCTGCCATTCAGAGCAGGCAGTACTGGGCTACATGGACCGATAGACCGACCGGAAGCAGTTTCCTGCCTCCTGATTTGGGTCATCCAGACGCCTGCCTTGACTTGCCTGAGCTGCTGGGCTATGATATTAACCCCACCTAGGGGGCTTGGATTCACTCATGATGGATTGCCTCTTCCCAAGACTTGGGAAGAGTCACGGCTGTGTATTACAGGCAGCACTTCAAACCACATGATTCATAAGATAGTCAGGGCCAGTGATCCCAGTAGATGGTGGTGAGTTTCTCCCAGGAGTTATAGCTTGGCGAGGATGCGGCTATTATATGACATTTCTAGTCAAAAAGGGTCGGGTCACAAGGCTGGAAAGATCTTTGCAGGAGCCTCTGGAGTTCCTCTGGCACACAGACTGCTTGCCCAGTCAGATGAATAGTATGCGTTGATATAAAGTTGCTTCATCGATTTTTTAAAAATTAAACCCTTGAAAAAATAGTTGGGAGTGTCTGGCTTGAAGTCAACAGCTAGGCTGCCCTGGATCTTTGGGGATTCTTCTTTGATGCATTCCACTTTCTTACAAACATCTTGTTAGCTGCCAATCAAGTTATCTTTGCACTTTGTTGGTTGTGGTGCAGTTGCTTCATTGGGAAAACCCAAGTTCTGAATTGCATTCTTGTGAGCAGTGCCTGCCTTCTTCCTTGCCCTTTCTTGTTCTCACAGGACAGTGCCTGCCTCCTTCCATATGCACCGGCTGGTCCTTAAAATCCTCCACAGAGCTCTCCCTAGAGAAGGGCCTTTTCAGCAGTGGCTTCTCAGCTGTGGAATACACTCCCCAGTGAGGTTTGTCTGGCGCTGACTCTTTATTCCTTGCAGCGCCAGACCAAAACCCTTTTATTTAACCAGTATTCTAATTGTTGATTTTAACATATATATGTTTTAATCCTATTCTACCAAGTGCCATACATTGTTTCTATGTTTTTATTATTGTAAACCATCTTGAGATGTTCTGTGAAAATAATAGATGGTATAGGAAAATAAATAAATAAAAGCGGGGGGTGTTCATTGAAAAATAAAATATATTTTCCTTCTGCTGTTCAGCAGTGGTAGGTTTACTTTTAACTCTGGAGTTAAGTGCTGCAGTATCTGTGTGATTAAGACACCCACAGTATAATGGATAATTGAGCTGAAATCTGTAAACACAGCCAAATTTGGCAGCTTCTGGGGGCGGGTGACTATAATGTAACTGTAATAAGTTGTATGGTTGTTCTTTATAGCCTTTGGACTGGGGGGAAATTGAGTTAAAATCCCTGCTCAGACATGGAGTTCACTGCAGTCTAATTATCTTTACAGGGTTGTTACTACTGTTGTTATTGTTCTTATTGTGGGTGTTTCACAACAGTTCATAAACATTCAGTAGTAAAATTGGGTAAAAAGTGGAATAAAATGTAATATCACATTCTAATATATAAATATAAAACATTATATTTGTTTTCTATTTAAAGCAACCTGTTAAAGCAACTGACATGGCCAATCATACGCCATATGCTGGGGCAGAGGATGGTCTTAACTTTGCACTAAAATTGTGACCCCAAGTGGGCCTCAGCAGAGAGAGCTTGTCATAATTTGGGGGCCGTCACAAAAAGTCCCTGCACCTAAATTGCCTTCCTCTAGGCTTCCCTTGGAGGGAGCAGTTGAAGGAAGGTCTCAGATGTAGATCATAGTGTCTGGGTAGGTGAACCGTTCCACTGTGCTTTTCTGTCCCAAGCCACGTAGGGCTTTGTAGGTTTGGACCTGAATTGGGCTTGGAAGCATTTGGGCAGCCAGTGCAGGCCGGCTGGCCAGAATTGGTCTTGTGTGTCCAGACCTTTTGGTCCCAGTTATTAATGGGTGGGTGCGAAAAGTGCTCCTGGAGATCCTTCACTGGATGACCTGTACTGACGTTTCTGCTATCATTGATTAGCTCAGGGTGTAGTCTGGGAACATGTAATCCTATATCAGCAGTAAGGCTAAATATTTGTGGACCTGACTGGACTCACAGTCGGTGACCTTAAGCTAGTTAATTTGGCCCTGTTTGGGAGTTTCGGATCGTACGAGAGTGGGACCTGCCTCTTCCGCTCTATTCCTGGCACCCTGGCCCACAGCCTTCCTTGTGTTCGGGCTGAACTTCAGTGCCGTGCATTCTGAGGCAGCCTGTCCGTCGTGTGATCTCACTGCAGACATTCAGCCTGAATGCATGGAGAGCTACAGGACCGGGCCACCTTGAACGTGCCAGAGGGGGGCAAGGCCCACAAGTGCATCCCCACCCCCTCTTCCCGACGGGGAGCACCCAAGCAGGGCTAGTATCTCATCCTAATCTGCCTGCGAGTGGAAATGCAAGTGATAATCCATGTATAGAATAATGTGCTTTGCAAATGAGGATTCTATTCCCAGGGCTGAAACGACCCTTTTCTAGGTGCGAAGGTGATGCAGAGTGATGTCGGACAGTGCTCACAGCTGGCAGGGCTGTGCAGAGAGAGCTTTTGAGAGCAGCGTCATGCCATTCCTGAAATGCCTCTAGGATTCTCCCGTTTCTGCTGCATCATCCCTCTGTGGCTGGAGCCAAAGGAGTGGCGATTGAGGCCCGGTTGAAGCTGGTGCGAATGTGACGGCTTTTAAAGGGGTAGGAGGTCACGCGAGCACTAAAGGACCAGAATATCTTTGCCATTGCTTTTTATGATGGCATTAATTTGCTCTTATAACTGCTAGTGAATTGGGGGGAAATGGAGCTGGTGGGAGACACCCACTCGAAAAGATGCGAAACAAGTTCTCAAACTGTGTGACCACGTGTCCCAAAAGAGACTTGGCCCTCAAATTCAGCCTGGATGGAATATGGGCAAGAATTTTTTGCTCGGCTTTTCAGGGATGAGCAGGGAAGTTATTAGTGAAGATTTTTTTTTTTTAATAAGGAGAAACATTTGGCCGAAGAAGTTCGGCCTCAGTGCAAAATTCCCCCCATTCTGACTGTCGGAGCCTTGCTATCATCAGAGAATACTTGCATCTGTAGATGTCTCAGCACAAGCGTTGAAGACAGGATTTTTGGCTAGAGGAAATATTAGTTGCTGAAGTTAAATATATAATTTTTATGATGCTTGGTGTCTCAGCCACCACAGCAGTAATGGATGACATATGGCCAGACTCTTGCTCCCTGAGGGCTTTTGTCCGTATGTGAGCAGTTTATGGAGATCTGCCAAATGCATGATTTTGTCTTGTTACTATCCTTCTTAAATGTTGTCCAGTACTGCGAAAAAAATGGCTTGCCTTCTCTTCACTCTTTAGCATGCTAATTCCTTTGTATGTACCAGTGCTTGCCCAGCTCTTACACTCATGACTTTGGAAACAAAACTGTTATAGGGTGGTGTTTCTACCCACACAATTTATCTTAAAAATAAAAACCAAGATGATAAAGAGCATCTTGGCCTGGAGCTCACAGCAACTCAGTTGCTTTTCCATATCAGTATGGTCCAATGTTTCCATAAAAATGCCATCAGGCAGCTAGGTCTTGTAACAGTGACTTGGATTTTTTTCTCAGTGTAAAAGAAAGCCCAAACCTTTCAAGACTGAAAATTTGAAAGTCTCTTGTTCCTGGTCTTTGCAAAGGTTTTTGCCCCTCTCCTTACTACCAAAATACAAAAAGCTGAAATGTACCTGGTTCAAGATGAGTTTGAAATCAGATACTTTGGTGGAATACTCAGTTTGTGTAAAGCAGGTGGTCTGTGTGTTACCCACAGACACCGGAGTACCCTTGGACACCTTTCTAGGTGCCCAGCAAGGTGGTTTAGTCCCTCCACTTAATGTGACAACAATAATAATGCTGATGATGGTAATAATACATTTTCTTGCCAACATTTGGTACCCCAGCATAACGCCCATCTATGAAAGTGTTTCTCTTACTACTGAAAAAGATGGGTCCAAAGCAGTTGTTTACTGTACTGGTGCAGGTGAATTTGTCATTTACTACACCTTTCACCATGGCAGCCCACTTCCAAGAGTTTCTCAAATTGCCAAACATATCCACAGTCCAAAAAGATTGCTGACCTCTGGCAACTCTTCAGGCATGAATCTAAAGCCGTCTTCTCTCGCTAGAGCTGTATGGACCAAATGAATCAGCACTGCTCCCCGTTCAACACCCCCGGAGCTCTTGAGCACCCAAATGCTCCTCAGCTACGTCCAAACATACAAGAACTTTCTTTTTTGCACTTGCTTGGTTTTGTATCCTCCTTCAAGTATCCACGCCTGTCAAGGGCCTGGCAGGTTTGAAAATCCTCTGGTTCTAAATAGCCAATTGAATCAATAATAATAGTAGCACTAGAAATGAACGTCCTATTCTTTACTCCTGAACCTCCCATGCCAGCAAGTCCACGGTCTTCTGAGTGGCTTCTGAAGGGCTGATGCATTTAAAAGCACTCATTGACATGGGCTGCACATTGACATTTAAGGCTGTTACTCAAAGAATTTTTAGTTCCATTTGTTTATCAATTAAAACAGCAGTTTATTTTATTTATTTATTTATATTTCGATTTATAGCCTGCCTTTTTCCCACAAAGGGCTCAAGGCAGCTTACATCATTCTCCTCCTCCATCTTACCCCCACAACAACAACCCTGTGAGGTAGGCTGGGCTGAGAGGCAGTGACTGGCCCAAAGTCACCCAGTTGGCTCCATGAGCGGGGACTAGAACCCAGATCGCCTGAGTCCCAGTCCCATGCTCTTAACCACCACACCACACTGGCTCAGTTTAGAAACAGAAGGCATGCTATATCTATAGATACCTGTTCCCTCTTCTCTGTGAAAGAAAAGGTTGCACGCCTATTAAGAGGATGCTTATCTTCAGCAGCTTTTAGGAGCATCATGGGCTGGTGGAAGGGAGACCAAGCAAAATTGTGTGCGCCCCCTCCCCCCTTTTGCTCTTCTTTTTCTGTGGCCTTTTCTGTTGCCACCAGAATCTTTCTCTGGCTGCCTGCACTAACCCAGACTTTAAACCTCTTTTGGAGTAAGGTAGGTAATTAGGTAATTCACTGTAAGATGCTTGGGGTGGGGAAAGTAATCCAAAAAGTGAAAGGGATTGATAGTTCCAAATGTTGAAGTTTAATGTTTCACTGAAGGAAAAACGCTACTAGGGGAAAGTCTTAAAATCTGAATGGATGCCTGCACAAAACCCAAGTCTTCCCAAGCAATATCTTCCTATCATTGGTCAATCAGTTCAAACTCCTGTTCAGAAGCTCAGATTATAGGATTCCTGTCATCATGCCTTTGCTTTCCTCCCATTCCTTCCTTCCTGCTGCTCTGTCTTTGGCTTCTACCTTCTAAAATTCTTTTTTTTCCTTGCATCTATTCAGGAGAGTAGTTTTTTGTTCATTTCTGTGAACAAAGTTTCTTGTTTCCTGAATTTAAAGCTATTTTTCTTTTTCCAACCTTCTGTTGAACCTCATAATCTCTTGATATCTTAACTGAAACCTCCTGAATTCTATGAGCTAACCAAAAGTGTACATTCTAATCTAAACTTTTAAGCTTCTGGCTGACAGAAGAGTACATACGTGTGTGGTCACACACACCCAGGTTGAACTTTAATATCCTAAAATCAACTAAATATAGTAACTGAAGAAAGCTGTGTTCTTCACAATAAGAGCTGTACTTAAAAACTCTATTTCTGACAATTTGACCCATCAGAATATCTTGTCCCCTGAATTCCATATTGAAAACACCACCTAGTACTCCTTCCCCTTGTCGCTATAGCTGCCTGCTTCTTGCATCTAGCAGTGGGTCCATTTATGATTTAGCCAGTGATACCTTGGACTGTTGATCACGGAACTAGTAGATTGATCATTCTAGTTGTTCAAGCCTTCAAGTAAGAAGTTGGGGTACAGGAGGAACACCAGGTTTTTATTTAATTGTCAGGCTTTGGATACCAATGAGTGTTTCTTAAATCTTTATTTCAGGGGTGGGGCCTCCTTCAAAACTGTTGCAGATCCCTGCTTTATTTCAAGACTGTGGGTCCATTTCCATTGTGAGGTGCTTGAGAGTCACCATGGCTTCCCAATGTTTGCTGGAATTGTTTTTTATTTTAAAACCATTCTCTCTTCCAAGTTCTTACAAAAGGTTTGCCCAAACCTATCCCAAGGTAACTTAAGGCCGACTCTTCAGACACATGGGTGATTTTGGGAGCGGGGTAAACAATGTGTGGTTTTGGTTAGGCTGTAGCTGAGTAGCTACTCTCTGGTTGTGAGGCATCTGCTCCTCAGTTTTGCAGAAAGAAAGCTGGTTGTATGAGGAGCAGAGTAGCACTGTTTGGTGTGGAGTTCGTCAGCTTTCTAGTGGACTTTCAGGTGTGCTTCAGCTTGTTGACATTCTCAGTATATGCTGCCTTTCAGAACGTAGCTTGCTATAATGCTAAGGGTTAGTTCTTTAAAAAAAAGAAAAACAGGAAAGAGAACTCATCATGACCGATGGAAGCCACTCATTCTTCAATCTGCCCTTTTTTCAGTACCTGGAATCCATTCCGACGTAATTTTGGCCATGGCTACGCAGATAATTTGCCGAAGATTTGCAGGGCGATCTTGCAGGTCAGCTGCATTTTCAACTACAACCAAGGCTGGGGGCCAGAAGACGTTCTTCGGAAAGAGAGAAGAGGGCCGGAGAACCACCAAGGCAGACAAAGGTTCTAAACCTGCCATCCTGTGGAAGCCTCCAGAATACAGGGTAACTTTTGATCCCTCAGCTTACGCTGCGGCAAAAGGTGTCGATCATGAGGGTGTCTCAAGAGGTTTGGAAGAAGAATCACATGAAAGCAACCACGGCAGAATCAACCTCAAACAGACCCCAAATTCATACAGCATTGCCAGCTCGCAAAGGCTGGACACAGGAGAAAATCAGCTGTCCACCCAAGCTCCTTTGATGAAGCCAGACAAACTACTCTCTGTGCAAGCTGATGGACACGCTGCCTCCGTGGAAGCTTATGACACTAAAGAAGATCCTAGAACATTCCAGAAGCTAAGGCCTGAATACAGGTCTCTCTGTTACAACACATACGAGGGCTCTCTGCTGATTTCCGCAGAGGAAATGGAGCCGATCCTGCAGAAAGTTACTGTGCTGAAAAGTAACCTGACGCCAGGAACAATTGTAGATTATTTCTCCAAACTGAGCTATTTGCCGGCAGAACAACACAGGCGTTTGATGTCCAGTGACGGGTTTGCCATGCTGTGTCACTATGGTGTTCGGCACATTAAGCTCTTTGATGTTTCTGAGATTATTACACTTTTAAAAGCATTTGTCCGCCTAGCCATTCCACCCACCCATGTTATGATGAATGTATACGCAATGGAGTGCTGCTTTCGGGCACAGGAGATGAGTCTGAACCAGCAGCTGCTGGTGGCTGACTTGTGGCGTTGCTTGGGGCGTAACATTTCTCAGTTTTTAGAGACTATGTTGCGCTATGTGAACTCGCATTGGCAAGATCTCACTTTGGCCCAGCTGGTTCAGCTAGTTTATATCATCGGTGAAAGCCGCAAAGTGCCGGAAGAGCTGCTGCAGAAACTAGATTTCTTGGTGAACAAGCACTTGGATTTTCTCAACCTGGAGGAAGTGGGTGCCATTTGCTTGGGCTTCTTCAAGTCAAAAGGTAGTCTTTCGGAATGCACTATGCAAAAAATTGGAGACAAGGTCTCTGGCCATCTGGCAGACATGAGCAATTATGCCTTAGTGAACATCCTGAAGATGTTTCGCTTGACTCACATAGCTCATTCAAACTTTCTGACAGAACTGGGGAGTGTTGTTCCTGCACAGATACCAACCATGGGCATTCAAGGTGTCATGCACATAGCGCTCGCCTGTTCGGCATTGCATTATTTCGACGAAAGGATCATGAATGCTGTTGCGTCTTCGGTGCCTTCCAGGGCAGCTTTCTGCCGAAGCAAAGACATCGCCAAATTCTTGTGGTCATTCGGCTGCTTGAACTATGAGCCACCCAATGCAGAGGAATTTTACGCCAGCCTCGAGAAACAGATCTACACAAAGATGCATGAATTCCAGAACTTCCCTGAGCATTTGCTCACCTGCTTGCTTGCTTTAGCATTTGCACAGCGGTTCCCCCACGACCTGATCGACTACGCCCTGAGTCCTGAGTTCATTGCAATAAGCAGCAGGAACAACTTTCAACTTGAGAAGGACTTTTTCACCCTCGATGGAACGGTGGAGATCGAATGTCCCGATTACACGGGCAATCGACTTGCTCCCCAACTTAAGCAGGAAGTGACAGAAATGCTGTGGAATTTTGCCAAGAAGTCTATCTGCACGAAGCCAGAAGTCTCTGAAGCCATGTCTCTGCTGGAAGATATGTTGGGTGGGCCACAGTTTATCAAGACCCACATGATCTTGCCTCACACCAGATCAATAGATTTGGAGATACATTTAGACCCTGATCTACAACCAGTGCCATTTAACTCCGAAGCTGAAGGAACAGCGAGTTTGGAATTAAATAAGAGTGGTATAGCACTTACCACCGACTTAATGAGTCAACTCTTAAAAGGGAAGTCGAGCGGCCAGTCCCCAGTGAGTGACTGTGAAAGCAAGACTGAAACATGTATCCAGGAAAAAGCAGCAGCAGTACAAGAGCAGTCTCTGCCCACTTCAAATCATTTTGCATTTTCTAGTGGACTTCCACTTACGGATACCATCTTGGATGCTTTGCTGAAATCAGAGGCGGCTCGTGAAAGTCCAGCCCCTGGTGGAGGCATGAAGCTCGCGGTTCAGCTCTCCAGCAGGAACCACTATTGCTATGGCTCAAAACGCCTGCTGGGGTTACACAATTTGAAAAGGCGGCAACTCCGTCAAATTGGGTACAGAGTGGTAGAACTACCCTTCTGGGAATGGTTTCCATTACTGAAATCTGGCCATTCAGAAAAACTGAGCTATTTGCGCTCTAAAGTGTTTGGCTCTTTGGGAGAAGAAGAGGCCAACGCATCATGTAGAACCAAACTTCTAAAGCCAGCATGCTGATGCTTAGTGACAGCCAAGTTCTGTGAGGCGCAGCATTAGAATAAAGCTGACTTTTTCTAAGCGACTTGCTTTGTGTTGTCCCTTTGCGGGGTCCATTCTCACTGTGTCTGCGGAAGAGAGGATGCATGCGTCTGGCACATCCCGTTCTTGTATATGGATTTCATAGTGTTTTCCTGTATATAAGAGTTCTTGTTTATAACTTGTATCTGCTGTTTTGTTTCCCCCAAAGGGGGAAGTTAACATATTTTGAAAGTTAATAGGGAGAGGTAAAGCTTTTTAAGTCTTCACAATACAAATGTGGTTCCGTAAATGTGTAACTCAAGTGATTCTTTCAATCCCCATCTCTAAAATAGGGATTGGCTTTATCAGTATAACAGAGTGAATTTGGAGATGAGAGAGAGAGAGAGAGAGAGAGAGAGAGTATTGCGAAATGCCTGGTGTGCTAGAAACAATATTCTGGTATTGTTGTTTCTTGGCTATCGTACTGATAAAAACTGGTACTAGTAAGGTATTATGGGGTATGGTAGAATGCCACATGAGCATTACATGGTTTAAATCCCCTTCCACTGTAGTCTCCTTATTTGTTCTGAGCGATTGGTATGTGGAGGTGAAGAACAGTTCTTCCATGAGTGATGGAACGTCTTACAATTCCGTTGATTGATTGATTGATTGATTGATTTATATCCTGCCTTTTTCCTACAAAGGGCTCAAGGCAGCTTACATCTCCTCCTCCATCTTATCCCCACAACAACAACCCTGTGACGTAGGATGGACTGAGAGTCTGTGACTGGCCCAAAGTCACCCAGTTGGCTCCATGGCTGAGCGGGGACTAGAACCCAGATCGTCTGAGTCCCAGTCTCGTGCTCTTAACCACGACACCACACTGGCTCTCAACATGTTAAACACATGGAATCGTTGTTGTTGTTGTTGTTTTAGGTCAGAAAACATGTGAAGAGTCCCAGAGGGCTACTGATTGATCAAGAATTTTGCTGGAAATCTTCCCATTTAGATTTCTGACCACAAAAATAGGTTAGGCATTTGATGTTATTAGTCAGGGTCTGTGGATACTCATATGCACCTTTTTTAACTTAGAGATTCGCATATTGCCTCATCTTTTCTTCTAGGCGGCTTCTGGGTTAACAAGCAGTTTCCAATAATTTGTGTCAACAGCCCTGCACCACTGCATACTTCCCTCTCTCAAAGCTTTGCGCCAGATTGCGATCTACCTCAGTGGAAGGATGCCATCCTTTACTAGGGCTGTGAACTGCCTTTAACAATACAGCTGGGCTATGACCCATTGCTTTCAGTGATGGTGTGTGTGGCAATTCAAACAGATTTTAGCTGACCACTTTACCACATTCCATGCATATTTATTACATTTCTGTGCCATTCTTTGATTGGTTCACAAGCGATGAAGCCATAAAATACAGCAAAATCATAAAGTACAGTATGCAACTGTTAAAAATGTAAAATCAAGATTAGCGTGACTATCTGAATCTGCAGTAACACATTAAAAACAGGGTGAATTTAAAGACCTTATTTTCATGGGAATTTTAAGAAGAAAAACCACAATGTAGGCACACCTGGACAGACTATTCCACAACCAAGATGCCACAACTGAGAAGACCCTCTGCTTTGTAGAAACAATGCCAGGAAGGTCTCTGAGGATAAATGCAGCTTCCAGGTAGGAATACATGGGAAGAGATACTCATTTGGTATTAATGTTGAAACCCCTGGCCCCAAGCTCTTCAGTGGTATCAACATTAATACCACCCATTTGAATGGGCCCAGGAATGGACAGGAGGGCAGGGCAGACATAATATATTCCTATCAGCCAGTCCAGTTAGCAGTCTCGCTGCCTTATTCTGGACCAGCTGGGCCTTTTTCACAGTGTGCCCGGCATAAAAGATTGTAAGAACTGAGGCAAGAGGCGACCAGATGATTTGAAACCGTAGCTGGGCGAACCATGGGAGGGTGTGATTGGAATACTGGCTCAGGTTCATAAAAGGTGCTGCTCTGTGCTACCAAATCAACAACTCTAGGTTCAAGGGCACCCCAGACTGCGAGACTGATACTTGGGGTGGGGGGAGACCCCTGCAGAACAGGTTGAGTATCACTCATCCAGGCAGACAAACTGCCCAGTCGCATTCCCTCCATCTTGTCTGGATTGACTGAGCCAGCCAGCCTAAGAGGGAGCCATGAAAATGCCCCTTGAGTACAATCAGTCCTTCAAAGAGGCTTCATGTGCATCAATACAAGCCTGGATGCACTGGGGGAAGAGGAGCTGCGTGGAGAAGCAGTGGGGTGTGATCTCTTTCATCAGTTCCTGTTGCTGGTCAAGGCTAAAAGGGCGGGGGGGGGGGGGGAGAAACAACCGGGTGTAGGGAACAGGTGAGGCCTGGTTTTGCTGGGGGTGGGGACCGAAGCACCACATCATGTCTCCCATTGCTGAACATCATGAACAAAGGTAGGTTTAAGTTTTGGAGTGCTTGGAAGATCTTGCCTAGGAGTTGCAGGGGTGGAGGGCCTGTACCCTGCGCTCTGCTAATCTCGCAAAAACAGCAGAGCGGCCAGGCTTCTCCCGGTTGGCATCTCCTCCCCTCTTTCTGAGTGAGAGAGCTCTCCTTGTTCTGATGGTGAAAGACTTGACAGGACCTGGTAGGACTGTTTGTACATTAGCTGAACGCATGCAAGGAGTACATTATATTAATATCATTAATTTCTATATTTTCCAATAGCCAAAGCTCTCTTCTAGACTTTGAGTCACTAAGACTATAGGTAACAGACACCGTATGTTTAGTGCAGGCATCAGGTGCATGCGCAATCTGATGTTCTCCAGATGTTCTCTGGCCCTAATCCAGATATTCTTATGATGTGTTCTGCATAAAGACTGAACAGAAAGGGAAATAAAATATACCCTTATGTAACACCGCTGCCTATAGGAATCCTTTCCATTTCTTCATGTTCTGCCCCGACAATAACTTCTTGTCCACAATGCAGGCTAGATACTGAGACACCCCCATTTCTTTCCGGACCACCCATAGTTTCCCATAATCCACACAGTCAAAGGCTTTGCTAAAGTCTCTAAAGCATAGGCCAATCTTCTTCTGAAATTCTTTGGTGCCCTCTGGCAGCCAGTGGGTATTTGTAGTATGATCTTGCATGCCTTCTGCTTTTCAGAATCCAGCGTGAACATCAAGCATTCTTGTCCCTTATCTACTCTGGCTGTTTTATTCTTCCAGGTGTTTTGGAGCAGCATTCACTTCCCTTTCTGATACTGCTGGCTCTTCCTCACAGAATTTTTCTTCAAAGAGTCTGCCATCCTTTCATCTCTTCTGGATCATTCTCTATATTGCTTCCTCCTCCTCTTCATTTTCTCCTAGTCAGATAGGATGTTATCCTGTTGGTCTTTCAGCAGTCTGACTCTAGCTTTGAAATTCCCTTTGATTTCTTGGATCTTCTGGAAGAGGTCTCTTGTTTTACTCTTTTGTGGTTCTCTTCCAATTCTTTGCACTGGCCGTTTTAATAGTTCTTTTTGTCTTTTGACATTCTTCCCAACTTCTCTGGTTTCAGTGCATGGTCAGTTAAATTGAGTGATACAAATCTGTCCTTGATTTAAACTCCTAAGGAATGTTGCTTAAATTGCATTTTGGCACTATGTTTCTGTTAACATTTTCATATTTACTCTGATTTTTTATATTACAAGTACAGGGTCATTAGCACAATCTGCTCCTGGTCTTGGTCTGGCAGCAAGAATGCACCTTCTTTGTCTCGTGTGTCCAGCGGCATTTCTGTATTAGCCGTCTGATCAGTTGCCTACAGTTTGCATTTGCAACGGGAAGTGGGTCGGCTTCATGGAATCCCGCGAGTGGTTCTGCTTTGTTTCCAACCCCTAAGCCAGTGGTGGTAAACCTATGGCACGCGTGCCACAGTGCACACACAGAGCCCTCTCTGTCGGCACGCGAGCCAAGTCGCCCCAGCATCGCCCCAGCAGCCGAGCATCGGATAGCAGCACACAGGGGCCATGCGCACGCTCGGAAAGGACTAGCTGCGCCAGGTGATGACGTCACAAGCCACGACTCAGTAGCCGCGACTCGTCCGAGCTTTCACATGGCTGATCAGTGCTCTGCCAAGGATATATATGTTTGCTTGGACTGGCTGTGAATTGTTTTTTCTAAACTAAAAACCTAAACACTTTTCAGGTTTTATTGTAGGGTTAGCACTTTGCGATAAATAAGTGGGTTTTGGGTTGCAGTTTGGGCACTTGGTCTCTGAAAGGTTCGCCATCACTGCCCTAGGCCAAACATGTGATTCTGCCTTGTTTCCTGCTTTTGTATTCCAGTCACCTCTGCTGACCAGCATGTCTTGATGTGTTATCATAAAAGCTTCTGATTTCTTCTTCACTATTTGTTGGAGCATAGATTTGAAGGAAAATTCTTTTGATAGTTTTTCTGAGAGTTCTGATCTATATGATTTGGTCGGAGTTTGCATGACTCCGACCAAACTCTTGCTGCCTGTTCTGCATCTTGCCTCATTGTGAAAGCCTCTCCATTCTTAAGTTTGCCACTTCTGAAGTAAAACACTTTGCATTCGTCTGACTGAAAATGTCCAGTTCCTGTCCACTTTAGTTCACTTACACCGTGCTCAGCAAGGGCGAACTGTCCCACTTCTTGCTTTGCCGTTTCCAGTTTGCCTTGATTCGTACGTCTAACCGCCCATGTTCCAACTGTATGTATTGTGTAGCATCAGCCTTTGCTCTGTGCAACAAATCTGGAGAGCACGAGGTTGGAGAAGGCTGGACTAGAAGCATAAAAGAGTCACCAAAAGAAACGGCCTCAAGGCTTTTGCAATGAAACTTGCCTGTTAAGTGAGATCTGGAATTTGCACAGTTAAATGCAACCCCCAAATACCATGGACATTGATGCAGTCTCTCCCTCTCTCCCTCTCTCTCTCTCTTTAGTTATTTAGACCATTTCTATGCCACCCCATTCACAAAAAGCCTCAGGGCAGCTTACAAAATGAATAGACAATCATATAATTAGCCATTAAAAATCCGGAAACATCTTGGCACAAGCATAAAAACCCCAAAAATACAATCAATAATTGACAAAATAACTTTTAAATAAAAAGGTCTTGGCCTGGCACCGAAAAACAAATAACGACGGTGCCAGGCGGACCTCTCTGGGGAGCGCATTCCACAGGTGGGGCGCCACCACAGGGAAGGCCCTGCTCTGGGTACTCACCCTCCTAATATCTTTCATGGAGGGTTCCCAGAGGAGGGCCTCTGCCACCGATCTCAAGGGGTGGGAGGGCATATATGGACGCAAGCGTTCCCTCAGATACCCAGGGCCCAAGCCGTTGAGGGCTTTATAGGTGATAACCAACACCTTGAATTGGGCCCGGACTTCAATGGGAATCCAGTGAAGCTGACGGAGGACTGGGGTTATATGAGAACAACGCCCAGTCCCCGTCAGCAACCTGGCAGCTCTGTTTTACACCAATTGAAGTATCCGGACCATCTTCAAGGGCAGCCCCACATAGCGCGCGTTACGGAAGTCTAATTGGGAAGTTACCAATGCATGTGTCACTGTCAGGCCATCGTTCTCCAGATAGGGATGCAGCTGATGGATCAGCCGAACCTGAAGGAAAGCGCTCCTCGCCACCGCAGTCACCTGAGCTTCTAATGACAGCTCTGGGTCGAGGAGCACTCCCAAGCTGCGAACCTTGTCCATAAGAGGGAGTGCAACCCCATTCAGGACAAGGTCCATGTCCCCCACCCCGAAGCCTGAACCACCTACCAACAGGACCTCCGTCTTGTCTGGATTGAGCTTCAGTTTATTGGCCCTCATCCAGCCCATTACCTTGGCCAGGCACCGGTTCAGTACAGCCACTGCCTCACCTGGATTGGTGGAAAACGAGAGGTAGAGCTGGGTATCATCAGCGTACTGATGACTCCGCAGCCCACACCTCCTGATGACCTCTCCCAGCGATTTCATGCAGTTGTTGAATAGCAAGGGGGACAAAATGGATCCCTGCAGAACTCCATGGCATAGCTGCCATGGCGCAGAGCCATAGTCCTCCAGCACCACCTTCTGGAATCGGCCATTGAGATAGGAGCGGAACCACTGCAAAGCAGTGCCTCCAACTCCCAATCCCGCAAGCCTATCCAGGAGGATACCATGGTCGATGGTATCGAAAGCCGCTGAGAGGTCCAGGAGAACCAACAGGGACGTACTCCCCCTGTCTTTCTCCCTGTACAGGTCATTGTACAGGGCGACCAAGGCAGATTCGGTACCAAACCTGGGTCTGAAGCCGGACTGAAATGGGTCCAGATAATCAGCTTCATCCAAGAGTGCTTGGAGTTGTCCCGCCACCACCCGCTCTAACACCTTGCCCAAGAACGGGATGTTGGCCACCAGTCTGTAATTGGCGGCCATCTCTGGATCCAGGGATGCCTTCCTTAGGACTGGCCGGACTACCGCCTCCTTTAAAGGGGCAGGTACCCGGCTGTCCCTTAGAGAGGCGTTGACAACCTCCAGGATCCAGGCCCCTATCCCTTGCTTGGCTTTGTTAAGTAGCCAAGATGGGCAAGGGTCCAGTAAGCAGGTGGTGGGACGTACTTGTCCAAGCACCTTGTCCACATCATCAGGCCGCAATAACTGAAACTCATCCAACAATGTGTGACCAGATGGCAACATTGGCTCCTCCCCTGAAGGCTCTGGCTCACCAGTGGAGTCCAGCTCATGACTAATCTGAGCGGTTTTCTCCTTGAAATGCTTGGCAAAGTCGTCACAGTGGGCCATCGAGGGTGGCATGAGAGCTTTCTTGGGGCCTGGGTGAACCAGCCCCTGTACCACCCGAAAGAGCTCCTCCGGATGGCATTGTGAGGAGGCAGTGGAAGTGGAGATGCATTTCTTTTTCGCCGCCCTCACCGCCACAGCATAGGCCCGATAATGGGCTCTTAAGTGTGTTTGCTCAGATTCATCCCGTGATTTCCTCCACCTGTGCTCGCGCGCGCGCGCGCGCGCGCTCTCTCTCTCTCTCTCTCTCTCTCTCTCTCTGGGTGGTTTTAAAAACAAGAAAAAAGGTGATGCAAGTGAATGTCACTTAATATGGAAAAGCAGGAAATAAGAAGGAGTCCCAACTAGAGGGATGCAGGGTGGTGATTTTGATTGCTAGGGGATACGGGTAAGGATGTGGAAACGGATTCAGCACACAAAGACTGAAAGATTACTGCAAAAAGGTGTGGGAGTGGAGGGGAAGGTGATGAGCACGGGGAGAGAAGGAGACTCATGCAGGAGAAAAATTGGTAAGAAAGTTCCAGGTCAAAAGAGGGGAAAATGAAAATTTGTCTTGTCAAGGAAAATGCCAAGTCCCTGCTGGTGAAGGAATGCCAGGAAAGGAGAACCTTGCGTGATTTTCAGTAAGGAAAGTGGTGCTTATGAGCACTTTGCCAGCGACAGCTTGAATGATAAAATAATGGTTAACACAGAAAGAGCTTCAGCTGAGCAGTTGATCAGCGGAGGAGAGGGTGAGTTAGCGGAATTGGCTTTCTTAATCTGTGTGGCTGTTACTCAACCATCTGAACGCTGTAGTAGGACAATTCTTTCCTGCAGCAAAAATGAGAGCTCTTTAAGGCAAAGATTCCTAAAATGTTGTCTGTCTCAATTCTACCTCATTTTCCTCTTTTGGAGGTTCGGAATTTAAATAAAGGCACAAACTGTATTCCTACTTCTTGTCAAGGTTTTAAAAGGTGTCCCTGTCAGAAGATGGTTCTGTGGCTCCTTCCCTCCTGACCCCACAAATGAAGCTGGTTGAATCCATTCCTGGCCAGCCACTGGTACGGAAGGAGCCTGGAATATAGTTAACCTTTTATCAAGTAGCATAAGGGGGGATGAGAAGATGCTGCCAATTAAGGGGGACAAAAGCCCCAACCAGATACTGCAGCTTTGGCAGGCAGACACCCTATTTGGCTTCTGAACTCTTGGATTGGAGGGACTGCTTTGCTTATCTGAGCCTAGCATGGATCCTTTAAGGCCTGCCTTCTCTGGTAATGTTCATATGAAAGAAGGAAGATGGCCTGCTCCGAATCATTCCCTCCTACTCCCATTCCAACTCGTTGCAATAAGAATAAATGTAGTATTAAGGGCACCACTCGATGCCTGTTTGGGCAGAAAAAGCCCCTCGACTCGCAGCATCGCCTCAATTCTTTGTAGGACTTGGAACATGAGATGGTCATTCAAAGGCAAATTCCATGCTGGGGAAAGAAACAGAAAATAAAATTGCCAACGTCCTAATGCCATATTGCTCCTCAGAAATGTTACCGTACAACTGGAAGAAGCACAGAAAAAGCCACCACCAAGATGTCTAGAGGCCTTGAGCAATGATTGCTGCCTGGGTCGAGACTTCTTTAGCAGAGAAAAGGGGCACGCAGGGGCCTGATGGATGCCCCAAATTATAGATGAGTTTGCAGATGCCAAAACCAGATCTCTCATGCAGCAGCCTGGTGGGCAGATCAGAAGAGACCCAAGAGAAGGATTTTTCCACACAGCACATGGTTAAACTGGAATTTGTTGCAATGGCCATCGATTTGGTTAGTTTTAAAAGAGGGTGAGGCAATTCATAAAGATGGTGGCCATCAGTGGCTAGTAGTCATGGGAGCTATATGTGGCCTCCAGCATGCGCGGCCTTTGGCCTTTCAATGCCAGTCGCTGGGAAACATGAGCAGGGGCTCCTGCACTCGTGCCCCCCTTCTGGGCCTCCCACTGGGGCATCTGATGGGCCAGTGCTGGACTGGCTGCACCTTTGGTCTGATCCGCCAGGGTTCCTCTTACATCTTTAGCCTCTCGCTTACTCTGCTCTGCGCAATTAAGAAAACCCTTGTGTGTGTGTATGTGTGTGTTTTAGAACCAGACTGAAGACTGGGAGCTGATTTCCACCGCAGCCCATAAAGATGGTGATCAATGTCTGTCTTCCACAATTCAAGCCAAGAATTCATTGCAACAAGGTATTTTGTCTGGTGGGCAAATGGCGGGGGAACCCAGCTCCGAGCAGCAGGTCCGGCTTGGAGAAGACCCCGTTCTAGGGACAAGGGGTGCTTTGACTCAGTAGTTGACTAAATCAACAACAGTTATGTCTCAGGGCTCCCTGTGGCTCATGCGTATCCTTTCTGAGAAATATGGCTAATGACACCCACAGAAAGACACCCGGCAACATCTCCAGCAGCTCATTTGCAAGGCAGAGCCTTCCTGAAAAAAGCAACAGCTTGCCAGGGTTTATAATTCTGCACCGTGAAAACAGAACTCCACAGGCAACTAGGTTTGCCAACTAACGAGCTGAAGACTAAGCATGTATTACAACCTTCGGCCTGTAATTTAGACCAGACAGACCCCCCCACCCCACCCCAAATAAACTGTCCTTGTTTCTTCAGTCATCAATAACTGATCAAAAGCCTGAAAGGAAAGAAACGGACCCACCAGCAAGGATCAAAGAGGGTTGCTTTGGCCGTCCCACCCCCTTTTGCAAGTCACCAGCCAGAGAGGTGACATCATAATGTAGACTAAGGACCAAAATCTTGGTCTTCATGACTTGTCCGGTGACTTTTTCAAGGAAGTGTTTTGTTAAGCTGTAGAAAGCTGATTTAAGCCAGCACCACCACCCTGCCCCCCAAAAATTATCTGGATGTTGAACAGCCCTGAGTATGAATTTCAGTAAATTCTGGTAATGCTTGCAGAAAATGCTTCACTCTTACCCTCCTCCCCCTTGTAAAAAAGCTGGATTCAGACAAAATGAGAATCCTTGAGGGCGAGTTGTTGTTGCTGTAGTTGTTGAACCTGGTTATTGAACCTGGTTGTGCTAGTAAGTAATGGCTTTCAACCATCAACAACTAACTCATGATGAGAAGTCATTGTCTGTTGTTGGTCTGTGAACTGTAGGTTGTTCACCATGGCTTATCTCAGCTGGGTTCAAGCAATGAGATAAGTCGCTTTTCAACAATCCATGGTTTAGCTATAACCCACACTCAACATTTGATTATGGGTTATCATGTTGTCTGAACCCAGGCGCTATCTTTTTTGTCACAAGGAGGATGCTGGTGGCGTCCGAGAGGAGCCTCAACCCAAGGCATGTCCCTAGTGTAGCCTGTTTGTGATGCAGCTGGTCCAAGTGGAATCTCAGTGAGAAGGATCCAGGCAGCAATTTTTGGGAAAGACACTCCTCTGCTTGGCAGTGCTCGCCACTTCGGGTAGGCAGGGCTGACCTAGATGAACAAATACCTGGACCTCATACAATGCAGCTTCTCCGTGTTCTTCCCGTGAGGGCGACTTTGTGTGCATTGGCGTAAAGTCGGGTGTGATCACTGGTACGTGTGTGACTTCACCGTGCCGTGGCTGAATTGCCCTTTAGGTAGGTGCATCTCTGCACTGCCACCCGGAGACCCAACTTTGCCTATATGACCAGTGTCACTTAAGGAGCAGTACCAGGACTGGATTTTCCAGCTCCATTCTTGCTTTCCCTTTTTGGGTGAATCTTGTAAATTCCCCTGCTGACTTGGAGTAGGGATAGGTGGGCTACAGATCCTAGCCCACTCCCCACAATTCGCAGTTCTGAATCGGCTCCCCAGACCACATCTCAGCACCCCAGAAACCCATGTGACTCTTCATTTCTTTTAATAACGCGTGTACGGGAAGAAGCGAAGGGCTTGATTCAAACAAACTTAGGGGCTTTAATTCCCAGTTACCTCAGTGGGAGACTTTGAACGACATGAATTTAAGAAAGCAATCCTCTAAATATTTATTAAGTTAAGAGCCATTGCGTTCAATGTGACTTACTCCCAGGAAAGTGAATAGAGGATTACAGCAGAAGGGTTTTAGTTGAGGCTGGGTCTCATTCTTGATTTTGATGTTGGAGAATTCCGCTCGCTCTGTTAACAATGGCATACAAAGACTCTCGGATCTGTTTTCAGAATCTTCTGTTTGTTTGTTTGTTTGTTTGTTTGCTTGCTTGCTTGAACTGTAGATCTCTGCTGACGGATATGAGGTAGAAAACCTGATCACAGAAGACCTTGCCAAGAGAAACCGTGGATTCCGCTGTGAATATTTCATTAAGCCCCCAGTCCACGTGACTCTTTCCTTCCCCTTCAATGTAGAAATTTGTCGGATTAATATCGACCTTTCCTCAGGGGGCTGTCACAATATCACTGGCCTGGATATTTGCACCTCTACCTCCTCCAGCAAAGCCTCTTGGAGCCACCCAGAGCCTCTGTTCTTGGGTCTGGACGCTCAGCCCGCGTTGGACAAAGAGGTCTTCACCCTGGTGGGCAAAGCCGTTCTGAAGAATCAGAGCAAAGTGACGTTTAGCCACCGAGGCTTCAGGCCAAGGCCTCCCTTCCATCACCAGATGGACACTCTCTTTTCTTTTTCTGGCTCTGCCTCGCTAGACCTGTGGAATAAAGGCCCAGCGTCCCTGAGCAGCGTGTCGCATGTGCGGATCTGCATCACCCATGTGGCCGGGGGCGGCCTGCCCTGCATCAGGAAGGTGGAGGTCTGGGGCCAGCCGGCCAAGGCCTGCCCCCACGAGGTGGTCAGCGACGTGTTCCGCGTGGCCTCGGAGTCCTTGGCCCAGGGCTTTGGGGGGCAGGCCGCCAGCCTCCCGTCGCCCATGGAGAGCGACACGGTGGCCCTCAGCGGCTCCGACAGCCAGGAGCCGAAGCTGATGGAGGCCATTCAGGACGTCCCGGAGGAGTTCCTGGACCCCATCACTCTGGAGGTGATGACGCTGCCCATGCTGCTGCCCTCCGGCAAAGTGATCGACCAGGGCACCCTGGAGAAGTGCAACCGGAGCGAGGCGTCGTGGGGGCGGGTGCCCAGCGACCCCTTCACCGGGGTGGCTTTCAGCCAGCACGCGCAGCCTCTTCCCCACCCCTCCCTCAAGGCACGGATCGACCACTTCCTCCTCCAGCACAGCATCCCCGGCACGAACCTCCTGGGGAGGGCGCAGGCCCTGGGGACCATGGTGGCCTCCTCGATAGCCATGTCCTCTCTCAAACGGAAACTAGACCTTGTGGCGCAGAGCCCGGGCGGCCACCGCAACATGGAGCCCCTCCCCAGTTCCCCGGCGGACGTGGTCGCCGTGTCTTCCCTGGAGTCCCGGGCTAAAAAAATGAAAATGGAGTGCGAGTCGAACTCCCAGATGGACTGCTCCACAGGTACCCTGGGCCCTCCGTCCCCTCGATCCATGGCAGGCGCTCCCCTGCCCCCTCCCGGCAGCCCAGGGCCTGAATGCCACCCCCTCCCAGGCGGCCACCGCAGCGGGTGCACAATCCTCAAAGCAAGGCAGTCCCTGCCGGCATCCTTGCAGTCTCACAAGGCACCAGATACATGAGGATCGGGATGGGGAGGGAACTGGAGGACCCAGTCGCCTTTCTGCAGGGAGGGCGGAGGGCCTCACTTCCCCTCCTTATTGGTTGTCCAGATCCATGTGACTCTTCATGGAGGGCCCCAAAATGGGTGGGGAGCAGCCCACTGTGTTTCTGGCCCAGGCCGTGCAGGATCGGGTCTCGTCCTCGCTTCGCGGGACTGGCATTCCCCTGGCCTGCCGCTTGCTCTTTTTCTGCCACATGTTGCTGTCGCTTAACTTCATGTTCCCATTAACGCCGGGGCTCAGTGTGTGTTTGTTTTCATCAAAGCTTGATCTGTAATGCCTGCGCTGGGCAATGTACCATCTTGTGTTCCAATCTTGGTTTTCTGAGAACTTTTCTAAAAGAAGGTCCCCAGACCGCTTTGTCACAGAGCAAAGCTGTGCAGTGTGTGCTGAACGGCCAGATATTCTTGGACCCCCACGGAATTGTTCCTGTCACCCCATCTTCTCCCTGTTCCCACGTGTCGGCTCATGTATTCTTTTCTTCCTCCCCCTTTACCACCCCAGCTTCTTCGCCTGAAGGAGGAAGCGGCAGCGAAGGAGGATTCTGCGAGTTTTAGCATATGTGTTGTCATTTTACTTAGCCATGTCATCGCAAATGCATCTGTGCATATGCCTGCTTAGGCAGGTGGTCAGGAGACTCCTTAGAACTTTGCAGATTTCGTATTGCTGCATTTCTAGTGTATTTAATACCGAATCCATGCAAATTATTTCCTAACCAGTATATTGCATTTTTCTCTCTCAAATCCTGCTTTTCTCAGTGGGGTGTTCTGCAGATTTTCTGGCTGCAGAAAGTCTTGTCTCTGCTCAGGGCACTATTCCCTAGCACTCCCTGCCTTCCCTCCCTCTCCTTGCAAAGGGGCTGCCCTTTCAAAGGAGGAAACTTTCAAGTAAGCACACCCCCATCCTTTGGGAAGGAGCGCGGCCCAGTGGGAAGAGCATGTGCTCCGTGTGCAAGCAATCTCAGGTTCAGTTCCCAACTTTTCCAGGTTGGACTGGGAAAGACCGGCCCTGCGGTGAGTCCATGGCCTGATTTGCATGATCACTGCTGCCCGCTGCGGCCGCCATGTTACCAATTCTGCTCCCCCGCTGTGATCTCTCATGTCCTCCGAACCCAGGGAGGGGAGCTTGTTTGGGCAGATCGCAGACCACCCCACAAGAGGGCGCGCAGGGTTGGAATGATGCAGGAAGCCACGCCGTGTGGGGGCTCAGTGCCCACCTCCCGAGCGGAGTCTGGGCACGCAGGGATGCCCGCGGTGGCTCCTGCGGCACCTCCTGATCCCCTGCCAGCTGTGGCGGAGCTGCTGTACCTCCTTGGGCAAGGGTCCGGTTGCCGGGCGCCCCTTGGGAGGTGTCTGGGTGGTGCTCCAGTTGCGCCAGGGCTGTTTCACTCGCCCCGTTGGACTGTTGGGTAGCGGGGAGCAAATAAACAGGAGCCCGAATTGCTTGCTTGGGCAGCTGCGTCAGAAGTGGCATCCTGTAACCAGAGGTGCTTCCATCCCGAGATCGGTGTTTGGCTAATGCCCTGAGAGCCTGAGGAGGGTCTGATGTGGCAGCCGCCGCCGATGGGTGTCGGACAGTGTCGGCGCCAGAGCCGCAGCCGGGGCAACGTGTCCTCTTGTGTGGCACAGTGCCAGGTGTGCCAGTCCTGCGTGCGGGAGCTTGGCCCCACTTCCTGGCAGACGCTCTCCTGACCGCCGGGCCCCAAGTGGTCTTGGGGCAGAAGGGAGCAGGCCGGGGTCTGGGGAGCCGAGCCGAGGGAATCTGATAGGTTCCCATCCCCGCCACTTAGTGGATGTATCAGGGAGAGTAGCCATGCTAAGCGCCTCCATGTTGAGAGGGAGCGCATCCTGACTCCCAGACCCCGCTGTTTGTGCCCTGGCTGGCCACCCACGGAGGCAGAGCACTAGTCCAGCAGGACTCTTCGCCTGACCCAGGGAGGAAGCTCTGATGTTTGCAGCTCTGCTTGGGATTAACCTTTGGCACTGAAGAACACAAAACCAAGTATCCCGTTAGTGGCAGTCCGTTTAAAGCAGACGGGCTGATACTGTAACCCACCCGAAAGACCGAATGGCTGGCGGACTTACTCCTTGTTCTCTTCACAAGCCAGATTATATGCTTCCAGGTTCTTGCACTCTCTTTGCAGATCTGATCTCTCACGAACAGAGGCTTTCGGAAAGCTTGGATAGCGCCTTGAATTCCGCACTCAGCAACATACCCTTGTTCACAGCCAGCTTGACCAAGGGCCAGCAAGCCCCGCACGGCGCCGGCACTGCGAGCAACTCGTGGGACGCGAGCAGCGCACATGGTAAAAGGGCATCCCGTTGAGGAGAGGGAAGCCCGGGTGACGGTCCTTGTCTTTCTCTTTCCGGAAGGGGCTGGGGCGCCATGGTTGGGGGAGGAGGCAGCTCCCCGGCATGACTGGCGGGCTGGCAACCGGCATCCTTCATAGCGGCTCTTCCCAGGCATGCCTCTCCGAGGTAGCGCTGCGTGTTTGGGAGGCACCCGGAATGCCTCTGGGGCCGACCAACCAGGCACTTAGGCCTTTTCCAGGAGGTGCCTGTGCTTGGAGGGGGAGGGGGCCCCCCACTTGGGGGGCCAGCCCCCCGGGATGCAGCGCCACTGATAGCCGCTGTGAGGGCTCCCATGCATTTCCTCCTCCTCTGTGTGTGTGTGTTTCCTACAGAGCACGGCAGGAGCGGCGGTGGCGGCCAGGGATGTGCGTCCTGCTCGCGGACCTTCTCTGTGTACTTCAAGATGGAGCCCGTTTACCAGCTCCCTTGCGGCCACCTGGTGTGCCGGTCCTGCTTGGCTGAGAAGCAGAAATCTTTATCAATACTGTGTATGAATTGTAAAAGGTTGGTTGCCACCCACGACATCATGCGGGTCCATTTCTGACGCCGTTTCGTGACGCCCTCTCCAGAATGGAATGTTTTTTTTTAAAGGGGGACCAAGGAGTGGGAGACGCCACTGTCCCTCTCCTTTGAGTCATGCAAGGGTGCAATCCTGCACAGACCTTGCCGGAAGGAATTCTGTGCGGATCGAAGAGGTCGCGATGCCCTTAGAGAGACTAGGCGGGGATGTAGGATTGTACGTTGCGCCAGAGCTAAAGCGATCAAAGGATAATAAAGCCATATTCTAACTTTTTTTCCCAGAAAGCTCATTTATACACAAACGTGGCATCCATGTAACCGAGCTCTGCCACCTCTCAAGCAGCCCAGGCGTAATTGTTTGTGGCCGAGATGCGGCACCTTCACATTCCAGGCAGTCTGTTCAGTAAGGAAGCTTTTGGGTTTCAGGAAGGCAAGTCCAGAACTAAGGAGAGCGTATCTGCCGGAGCACCCGTCCATTATCAGCCTCGTCCCTGCATTGTTCTTTCCAGACATGCAAAAAAACCCAGACTAGCAAATCCAGACTGCCTTTTCTGAAGGCCAGATAACTTCCAGGGAGCGGGGAGCACTGGGCAGGGTCTGAAGAGTGCTGGTGTGAGTCTTCATTAGTTGTGCAGTTTGTCTAAAAGGTCCGTGTGTGATACACACACACATACATCTGTCGTCACTCTTGATTTCTGTTGTGCAACCGGGGAGGTGACGTGGTCAGCTCTGTTCCTGTCTAGCAGGTAAAAATGTATAAGCCTTAATAAAACTGTGATCAGAAGTCACTGATCTCTTTCAGGCTTACGAGAGTCGTCTTTTTTTTTTTTTTTCCTGCCTGCGCATCTGTTGGAAGGATAAACAACACGTAGCTTATTTCAGATGCTTCTCATTTAAAAGCTCTAGGACGGAGTCAGCCAGTCGTCCTCTCCATTTTATCCTCACAACAATCCTGTGAGGTAGGGCAGGGTCTGGCCCAAAGTCACCCAGTAAGCATCACGGCTGGAGTGGGGAAGAGAGCCAGGTCTCCCAGTTCAACACCAGCTGCCCCATGTGCAGGCACATGGAAACTATACATGCCATCCTGATTTAGAGCTCTCGCTTCCCCATGTCCTCAGCCCCGGGGCCTGGTTACCATCCCTGCTGGCAGGGAATCGCCTCACAGAGCCCTTCTGTGGCCGCTCCATGTGGGGTGTGATGAGGAGGGAGCTGGCAAGAGCCAGTGGGGTTCAAGGCGTGCTTTGGGCTGGGCTCAGGATTAAACTCCAAAGCAGCCGCACGGATCCCCAGCTGCAGTCACTTTCCTGTACCTCGCAGAGAGGCTGCTTCTTACTGGGCTGCTGGCAGTGAGTTGGGAATTCTGGGAGTTGCAGTCCAAAGGAAAAGGGGGTTTTCACTAGCAGGGCCAAATCAGTTACCACACAGCATGAGTAGGCAGGTCTCCCTGACGGAGGAGACACACTGGGGAGAGCCAAAAGCAGGCGGCGAGGAAGTCCAGCGACGAGATGGCTCAGTCCTTAAAGGAAGCAGCCGCCTTGAGTTGCGCAGAGCCGAGTCGGGCTGTGAGGGGCAGGCCGTCCTGGAGGGCCCTCGTCCATCGGGCCGCCACGAGTCAGAAAAGCCTTGATGGCACGTAACGAGGGCAGCTCTCTTTCCCCGCTCTGCATGCAGCTTCGGCTGCCGTCAGTCCAAGCGCGGCTTTTTACGAGGCTGTGCAGAGCCACGCCATGCACGGCCGGACCACCGGGCCACAGCGTCCCCCGCGGCTGGCAAGCGACCGCCCGGCACGTACGTTAATGACCCTCTTTCCCAGTCTTGCTCCCGGACCCCTTCTAACTGGAGACGGGCATGTTGGAGGAACTGGTCGCTTTGCATGCGAGGCAGGCGCCTCGGTGGGTGAGCCGAGCAGCTGGAGACGATCCGCAGAGGCGGGCTGGTGGAGCCACAGGCGCTGCGAACGCCGTTTAGGTTGCGTTCTCCTTGCTGCCCTTCTTGGCACCCATTAGCGAATACCTAGTTGCGCAGCGTTTAATGAGACTTCTGGAACCTTCCCTGCCCACAAACGGCTGCGCCCTGTTACTCATATTACTGCTGTTCGGCCCCATGTGAGAAAATTTGCCGAATGGAGGCAAGCTTCGTTAACCCTTGTCATGTTTTTGAGTATCTTCCCCTCGCCCCAGCCAGCGTCCTTTTTGTTTCTACTTCACAAACTTTGCATAAAGCAAGGGCAGGCCGCCTGATGCTCTCCATAAGTGTTAAACTACAGTTCCCATAGTCCCCAGCCTCCAAAGCCAGTGGTCAGCGATTAGGATCGTTGTCCAGGACTTGTGGAGTGCCCCAGGTTGTTCGTCTGTTGGACTTTTAAGGTGAACAGGCGATCGAGTGACTGACTGCACTTGTGTCCGTTCGCACAAGAGAAAGTCCGGCTGGTCCATGGGGTGCCAGCATCATCCCCTCAATCTCAGGCCGAAAGCCCCTTATCATCCACTGAAATGATTTCCAGATTAACCTGGTCGGGCTTTGGCCTCAAGGCCCACATTCCCCAAGGCGGCTGGGAATGAGTTGCTCCGGGTAGTAAGTTCCGGAGTCTCGTCGCGACTGGAGTGGCCCCAAACTCCCAAGGGCTGGCCAGGAATGCTGGAGGTCAGCCTTCCCCCACTTCAGGACTGTTGGCCATGCTGCCTTGGGATGATGGGAACGGTGGTCCACATCTGGAGGTACAGGGTGGGGGAAGGCTGGCTTGCAGCCAGGATCGACTGGGTCACCTCTTTAGCACCACAGACCCATCTGCAGTACAGGTGTGATAATAGGCTACCTCGCATGGTTGGCATAAGTGAACGCTTGTGGGAATCTCTGAGCAGTGCTGGGATCACAGGGTCATTTGGTGCGGTCACCAGATGGGATCCAGGAGTTCTGATCCAGCTGCACGGCAGCCCAGGCCGTGGCCTCATCGGCAAGAAAGAACACAGGTGATCGGCTCCCAGGCACACCCGCCCTGAGTCTCGCCTGAGCAGGTAGACACGGGGATCCAGGTCTGCCGGCTCATGGGCGCACCTTCTGCCCCCATGATTCCAAATCAGCACCAAGAACTCCGGAGTGGCGCAAGAGTTGCTGAGTCTCCATCGGGGCCTCCGCTGTCCTGTTGGACACTCCACCGCGTGATGTCCATGCAAGTGGGAAGGCCTCGTTGGCTCCCCCTTGCGCTCGGGCACCACCCTGAGCAAGGCGGGGTGCCCCAGAATTCACCAACGCAACCTGCACTTTGGGCCTGGAAGCGGTGGGCCAAAGCCCTGCCTAGCGAGGACAAATGAAGGCAGGATACCGGAAGGCTGTTATCTCGGCCATCCTGGATCTGTGGGAGCAATGGCTGCCCGTTGGTCCCGGAAGCTGTTGGGAAAAAAACCCCAAATGCCAGAATGAAGTGTGCTCGAGCATTATCCATGGAGTCGGGGCCCCAGATCTGCAAAGTTTGGGAAATGCTGATCCTGGACCCTTTTGCTACCCTCCTGTGGTTCTTAATGTTCAATTTTCGCCTTTGGCCCTTGAGCTGATACATCGGCTGATTTCATTAAGTGATTCCAGGCTGGAAAGTCATTTCCTTAGCTCAGAAAACATTTCATTAACCTTCCTTGACTTCAAAAAGCATAATTACATTTTAATCTTTTATTCCTGCATTATCATTCCACACATCAAGTAATTTGAGGGTGAATAATTCCTGCTAATACACTTGTAAGATACAGTAATCGGGAGTTTGCCCTCGTCTCATAAAGCTGTCATTCAGTCTAGAAATGATATTTGGGATGGTGGCTGGCTTTAACAGAATGACAAAGTTCCCGGTTTCCATGTCATACTTTAACTGATTTTTTGGGGAGCTAGAGCTGGGTCAGTTTCAAAAGCTCTTGAGAACTAAATGGGATGGGAAATTTGAGATGAAGATCATTACAGCTGACCCTTGTTTTGCTTATATTTTTGAAGCTGATGTAATCACAGTGACAGAATAGGGTATTAAAACACATTAAAAAAAAAAAACAGAGAAAACCCTCCCTACAAATAAGCTTAAATAGGCACGTGTCCAAGTGGGGTCACAACTAGCCAAGAGAGGCATGCTTGAGTAAGGTTTTTCCAAGAGTTTATGATTTTACAGCAAGTCCCAGTGTACAATTTGTGGGCCTCCAAATATTTTGGCTTGTGATTCCATCATCCCTTGCCAGTGGCTTTGCTGGCCAGGGCTGGCAGAATTTGTTGCCAAAAACATCTGGAGAAACAGAAGTTGCCACTCCTGCCCACAGGCAAAGTAGTTTTGCTTATTTCCAAGAAGGAAATCTGTGGCACAATCCTATGCAAATTTAGACAGAAAAAGGGCCTACAACTCCCAGCAGGCTGGGCCACGCTTGGACTTGTAGGCCTTTTAGCTGCCTAAACTTGCACAGGATTGCCACTTTATTTTGCCAGCTGAAAGCAAGAGAATCTCCGCGAAAGTAAAGGAAGAAGGAGCTTCTGTGCCCTACAGACAAAAACTAAGCCGAAGACTGCATGGCATTTAAAACTCTGTACTCCCCTTCTTAGCAAGATTCATGACTAACTTTAAATTAGGGCATGGTTCAGGCAAAATTAAGTTCCATTGATTACCAGACAAGAGATTTAACATAGTGGTCTACCATGGAAACAACTGACTTCCAAGTGCTTAATGTTGGCTGGATCACATCCTTACTTTCCAAAGATACAGGATACGGGTGATTTGCTAAAGAAATCCAAAGGCCCAAGATGCAGGTTTGTGCATCTGATGGATTCTAGTCCATGAAACCTAAGCATCCGTTAGTCCTTAAGGTACCACAAATCTTTACTGTTATCACCTCCCCAAAGATGCCTTTTTGGAGTTCTTCATGGACTCCTGAGATTTCACCCTCCTGATGTGAGCACCCAACAGGGGCACTTCCCTCCCCAGGGGGTGGCGGGGGGACGGGACAATCCTTTACTCTGATTGCCACCTGAACACTTCCTGGATCAATGCTGCACATCCCACATCCCCCTGCCTCCAAGTTTTAAACTCTCAGACCCCTGGAATTGGAGGCTGAACCTATTTCTGGCACCTCTAACTCTTTGAATAAGTACGCGCCCACCCACACACACGCACACCCTCCCTCCGGAGGGATGGAATGGGTATATCACAGGGTTCTGCCCATGGCCCAATTGAACACATGCATTTGCTAATGAAAAGGGGCAGCTCATGCATCCGCAGCCAGAAACAGAGCTCCAAGTGAGTTTGGCAGCACAGATCGCTGGGCCTAAACTAACACAGACATTTCAACAGAGAGAAATGTAAAGTTCTGCACTGGGGTAGGAAAAAGCCGGTACAGAGATGAAGGGTGGAGAATGCCCTCTTCTGAGGGCACTACACATGGGAAGGCCTAGATGCTTCCGTAGACTTCGAGCTTCAAAGAGCGATGGACTGAGGCAGCGAATGCCTTTCCCAGCTGCATCCACAGAAGCATTGTGTGCTGATCGTGAGAATAATGGTACCATTCTGAGGTCGTACCTCGTAGAGATTATGGGGTCCAACTCCAAGTAGCGCACTTTCTGGAGGATACTGAAAAACTGGAACATGGCTAGAGAAGGTGAGAAGGTGGTGAGAAGATCAAAGATGGTGAGAAGCCCAGAGACCAAATCCTATGAAGAGAAGTTGAAGGAACTGGACATATTTAGAAAATATTAAGAGCTGATATGATAGCCATCTTCAGATATTGGAAGGGCCATCATGTGGGTCAGCAGTAGGAAACGGTCTGGCCCGTGGCCAACTGGAAGTTCAA